CATGACCTGAGCTGAAGGCAGACGCTTAACGACTGAGCCACCCAGGCGCCCCACAAAGACAGGATTTTTAAAAATGCTTTAACTATAGCTTGTTACAGAGTTTTCTAAAAATGGCTCAAAACATACTCATCTATTTAAAAAGTATTTACTGCATACCTACCACTCCCAGAGCAACGAGGGAAGTGGGCGGCCATTTTAGCTATGATAGTCAGAAGAGAAGGACTTTCTGGGGATGACATTTGAGCAGAGACCTGAATGAAGTGAGGGTTTAAGTCATATCAAAATCAAGGAGATTTAGGGAGAAGGAACAAAAACAAAAAAAGCCAGCACAGAACAGAGTGAGCAAGGCTGTGTGGTAGGCAAGGGGCCAAGAACTGAATTTTAATCCAAGTGTGAATGGAAGCCACTCTGCTTTGAGCAGGAAATTGCATGACATGATTTATGTTTTAAAAAGCCCACTCTGGTTGCTTTGTCTAGTAACAAACGCTAACGGATTATAAAAATATCCAGTGCTGCATAGAGTACTTACCATTAGGTCGAACCAGGAGTACGAGTTCCCCAGAATGTCTCTCACAGCTAGCTTTAATAAACAGGACAACCTGATCATGGGTATGTTCTGCAATGTCCCGACCATTGATCAGTACAACTTGGTCCCCTTCATTCAATCGAGGGACACAGAGGTCAGCCTGTAATGTAACATAAATAAGGTTTCAGATGTGCACATGGCTTTCTGAAAGTAAAGCACAGGAATTTATTTTTATAGATTCTACAGCAAGAGAATGAAAAGTACATAAAGAAAAGCATCCATCCATTTATTCACCTGTTTGTAAAAAGCAGAAATCTAGCTTTCCCATGAAGCTACTTTTTCCCTTTTTCTTTCAACAACTTTTCCCCTGGTGCCCTAGTATGTGCCTAGATATAGAGAAAAGTCTAATGACCTCAAGGTGCGTAGACAGTGGCAGCCCTCACTCTGCACTGTCCAGATATGTACAAATTTCAGTTACCACAGTTCAGTTAAATAACACCGGTCTCCCAACAAGGTTCAAATTACAGTCCCCACAATACATCAATTGTGAATAACTGCATCAAGTATGAGTTTGCTACTAGCTCGTGAGTCCACAAATCACTCCATAAATAACAGACACACATCACGATCAGGGGGCAATCACATCACTTCTTTCAAAGTCTGCGGGTGATCTGTTGTTGTGCATCTGTTACTCAGTTCACACAGAGACAGCAAAGCAGGTACCTGTGTCACCTCCTTGTCTCCCAGTGATAAACCCACGAAAATCTAAAGAGGAAACTGGCCAGACAAGTTAAAAACGCAACAAAGAAACAAAAGAGTGATAGTGACGGAAGGAAAACTCAAGTCGAACATAAACCACTGACAGTGAAAATACTGACACTACTACTGTTAGAGAGCCCCCAGACATACAGTGAGAGGAATTCAGTGAAGGTGGACTGATTAACATAAATGGTGAAAGTGGCTCTGATGAGAGGGATGAAGGTATCCTAGAGGAAGTGACGATGGCAAAAAAGTTCTCACTGAAGGTCACATTTCACAACATTGAAAATGCACCGATAAAATGCTGGAAGTGAATTCAAGTTTAGAAATGATTAGGACAATCTGCCAATGCAAGAAAAATGCTCCCTCTGTATTTTAAGTTATACGACAGAAAGGGCAACAAGCCACTGTTCAAAGTACTTGTGATAAGTTTCCACAAGGACACAGAACACTTTATTTCTCAGTGTTTCTAGTGGTTTGAATTATAGGATACTAAACCAGTATTAGTTTTACTATTTTTCACCTCCCTATGCATTTTTAAGAGAAACTAAGAGAGATTTCAATTATTTGATAAAAAATGTAAAAGTCATAGAAACCACCATATCTTTCCCCACTGATTATCAAGATGGCTTTGCAGTTTCAGCTTGCACAGTCATTTTTACTGTCCTGCACTACTGTGCAGAGTGAGGACTGCTTGTATTTTATTGAGAAAACAAAGGCTTAATTAAGCTAAAGGAGGTAAGCGGAAATACGGATTGCATGCTCCAGGAACACAGCAGTAAGAACATACAGGAGTCAAGTCTGAAGGATGATTAGGTTGGACAGAGAAGGAAATGACTGGGTCGGACCATACAACAAAGGCAGCTTGAAGAAATGAAAGCACAACTACTCAAATTCATAATGAACACAAAGTCAATAAAATCCAACAAGATACTGTCACTAGTGGAAAGAGCACTGGGCTAGGAGCCAAGTTCTTCCTTTGCTGCTTATGAAGTGTATGATTTTAAACACCTGAAACTTTGAAAATGGAGCAGGTATCTGCACAAATTATTTCACAGAGTTGCAAAGACAAAAATGAGATGATTCAATGCACAGCATTAAAATCTGGAAAATTCATGTTTAGAGGTTATGACCATTCTCTCTAGTTGTTTCTTTCTCTGCTTCTTGGAGTGGAGCAGATGATGTTCATATACTCCCTCTGTGCACTAGTAGTATGATTCTTTTGTGTACCAATTTAGTCCCAAGTTTTTGAAGTGCCTTTGCAGTACCCAAAGAGTAGTGAACTAGTAGAGATATCAATGGTACTGGGAGGTATGTAATGGCTAGAACAAAGAGTTACCCTCTCACCTTACTTTGTGGATAGTACAGTTGGCAGAAAAGAGGAGGCAATCCATATGATAGGGAGAGAACAGCTATGCATTTCTCTTACTGTACCTTGTATACATCCACTGATACTTCCAGTTCAGACACTGAGGCTAATGGGGCACTATATTAACCAATACGCTAAAACATGCAGATAATTTTTTTTTTTAACTTTATCACTGATGGGAACGCTCATACTTAACCTGCCTTTCGTCAGGTATGCTCACAGATTTCTATTTGCATTCTGACCTGGAAAGTCTAGATAAGCTGTTTATTTAAACGGATTTTGTTGCAGCAACAGCTACTTGTTCACAGATAATCATATAGAAAGAAAAAAATGAATTCAACTGGAAATTGAAAAACTGGGAATTATTTTATCCATTTCAAAAGGTGTCCAATATAAAAGATAACATTAAAATATTTGAAATCCTGTTCTTTTCCCCCAATCACCTAAAATGAGGTTTCCAACTGGAACACTGTGATGGTCTCTAAATTAATGAGATAATGTAAAAATGATAAATTTCTATTGTTCTAATTTGTTCTAAATTCAGCCAATATTTAAAAAAAAAATTTTATTTATTTGAGAGAGAGAGAGAAAGCGTGCAAGTGGGGAGAGGAGCAGAGGGAGAGAATCTCAAGCAGACTCCCTGCTGTCACAGAGCCTGATACGGGGCTCCATCCCATGACCCAGGAGATCATGACCTGAGCTGAAACCAAGCGCTAGATGCTTAACCAACTGAGCCACCCAGGAGCCCCCAACCAATATACTTTTCTTTTTCTTTTTTCTTTTATTTAATTTT